AACTCGCAAGACGTTTCGTCTTGCAAAGCAAGCCCATAGGGAAATTCGTCTTGCGGAACGACTCAAAAAACCGAAAACTATTTCGTCTAGCGAGTTTTTCGTCTTGCGAGGCATTCGTCTTGCAGGGCACCACTGTAAACATCTAAAAACTTGACTATCTTGTCCTTTGCCTCAGTTAACAAATTGCTTTGGTCCAGCCCAGGGCCAGATTCAGGTTTGATGAGGCCCTAAGCTACTGAGGGTAATGGGGCCCTTTATATGTCCAGCTGTCCTTTGTCAACAACAAATTGTCGCTGTTGTTTGTGCTGAATATATGCTATATGGTAATTTATGGACCTGATAGGGATCTAAAGCCATTTGCACATAACAAAATATGTATTTTATCAAAGTAATTTTGAACTGAAATACAGTTAAGAAGTATATCAACAGTGAAATAATTATTAAGCTCTAACTTAAAATGATTTTTTATTCATAACAAACTTAATAATGCAAACACATTGGCATTTGGCAATAACAAAAGGACCTTGAGAAACACAATTTACAAAGACTCATAATCTAGTCTCTAGAAACCACTGTATATAGAAATGAGCAAACCAGTGATATACCTGAAGGAGCGTCTCCACCCCCATCGTTCTGCCCGGACACTGAGGTCCAGCGCCGAGGGCCTTCTGGCGGTTCCCTCACTGCGAGAATCTAAGTTACAGGGAACCAGGCAGAGAGCCTTCTCAGTAGTGGCACCTGCCCTGTGGAACGCCCTCCCACCAGATGTCAAAGAGAAAAACAACTACCTGACATTTAGAAGACATCTGAAGGCAGCCCTGTTCAGGGAAGTTTTTAATGTGTGGCATTTTAATGTATTTTTAATCTTTGTTGGAAGCTGCCCAGAGTGGCTGGAGAAACCCAGCCAGATGGGCGGGGTACAAATAATAAATTATTATAATATTATTATTATTATTATTTAGGGAGCCGGCCAGCAGGCAGGGCCCATTACTTACATCATAGGAGCCTACACAACACAAAACACTGTTGCTGTATGTAGGTTTTATATTTGGTTATTATCTTATGTTTTGGAAATGTACATCCAGGTTGTTGTTTTTTCTTTAATTTTTTTGGGGGGCCGCCCCCACCCCAAGAGAGTGGGGCCCTAAGCTATAGTTTGTTTAGCTTATATGTAAATCCAGCACTGGTCCAGCCCTGGTCAAGATTCAGATCTGAAGAGATTGCTTTAAACCTCATGCCCTCATGCCATCATATTTTGACTGGCACCCGCTTATAAATCTCTCTCCATCCAATCATCAACATTATGATTCCTTTCTGTCCTTACTAAGGAGAAGATGAGCTGGTCTTGATTACACCTGACTTTCATGCAGTTTCCAATGAGCAATGTTGCAACATCCCGTTACCTAAATGGTAAAGGTAAAGGTAAAGGGACCCATGACCATTAGGTCCAGACGTGGTCGACTCTGGGGTTGTGGTGCTCATCTCGCTTTACTGGCTGAGGGAGCCGGCGTACAGCTTCCGGGTCATGTGGCCAGCATGACTAAGCTGCTTCTGGCGAACCAGAGCAGCGCACGGAAACACCGTTTACCTTCCCACCGGAGCAGTACCTATTTATCTACTTGCACTTTGACGTGCTTTCGAACTGCTAGGTGGGCAGGAGCAGGGACCGAACAACAGGAGCTCACCCCGTCACGGGGATTCGAACCGCCGACCTTCTGATCAGCAAGTCCTAGGCTCTGTGGTTTAACCCACAGCGCCACCTGTGTCCCCACCTAAATGGACACAGGTGCTAATATGAGGCTTCAGGCAATAAATAACTTCTGGATTTTTTTTCTGTAAATACCTAACCGGTAAGATGCCCTTCATAAGCTGTAAGGCTGAGCCACAAATTCTCACTTCAGAACATTCAGCTCAACAGTTGAACGCTCAACAGCTCAACACTTGTGGACATTCAGGGAGGTGAAAAACTGGATTGGGAGAGAGAGATTTTGGAGGGGTTGTTTGAAAAGTTTTTGGGGTGGGCTTACTGGTTAGCAGTTCAGGAATTAACAGTTCCATTCTGCTTTTTCACGTTTTTGGAAGCTCTAGCAGAGATAGAGCTACTCTCAGAAGTTGTTTGTTTGTCCATAATCCCATAATATTATGCCATGATGTAACACCTTTCCAGTGGCATTGTGATGATGCTCATGGTGTCAGCTGCCAACCTATCCCACAATGCCCCTGTAATGAATACCCTAAGAACTCCCCACAGACCACACCCAGCAAAAAAGGATTGTTGTCGAGGAAAAAATATGTATAAAAGGAGAATTCCCTGGTTGTCAAGATCCATGTTTGGGGCAAGTACTCTTTAATGAGAAAACTCCAGCAGAGATTTAAAATCATAAAAATATGCAGCAATGTGAAGTGTGGAAATAAAGACTGTTAGACCTTTAAAATATACCCTTCTAAGTTCCTTCCAAAGTTCCCCTCTTCCCCTATAATAGAAAAAGACTTTACGTGTGGTAAGTTAAGAATTGGTTTACTTACAAACTGTTCAAAGGTCAGGTTCGTGTGCATTTCCATACATCATTCAGAAAGCACAGGCAGTAAAACTTGGCACAGTTATAGCGATGAAAGTTCCTAAATTATGGGCATAGGAATTTTTAGTATAGTGGTTTGTAAGAGCCATGCAGCTCACATGCTGAGCTGCTCTGATGGACTGGATAGGGAAGAAAGACTTGATTGAGCTAAGCCTGGCAGGACAGCTTACTCTATGGTCTTAACCCCTTCATGCATTAATAGCATGTTGCTTATTCAAGATTGGTTATCCCACAAAAAGCACCAGTCTGGAGGGGGCCCAAGTGTGTCTGCCGATTCAAGTGTTGCGTTCACATGCCTTAGCCTTACACACAAATGGACTGGTGTTCTTGGGAAGTGCATGTAGACTCCCTAAGGCACATGTAGGACACAGGAAAGCAGCATTCTCATGGACCATCTCACATCTATTTTGGCTCTCGGGCAATTCCACGTGCCGCTTTTCATGAAGCAAAAGGAAATGACCTCATGTAGCGTTCTGAGTCTCCACCATTCATGACCAGCAGGAACTTCAGCTTGTTGTGGTTTTCTACTTGAACTGAAAGACCCACATAAGGTGCCCAGTCTGGAAGTTTGCCTTCCTGCTATCAGCGTGGAACATTCATCACTTTGGGAATACAGGCACCTGTGCGCCACACCTGCAACGATTCTACTCTCAAAAAAATGACCCCATTGCAAATGTCAACACCGAACACACACCAAATACTCGCCGAATATTTGTTATCAGCCCAGGCACCTTCAGAGCAGCTGTTGAACATCTGGCTGACAGGCAGCTGTTAAATTTAGCCTTGACACACATCAGTCCCAGGGTATTTGGTCAAAAGGCACATCAATCCAACACATTGCTGAAGCTAAGCAGACCTGGGTCTGGAAAGGACCTGGATGGGTGACCACCAAGGAATCACACGTAGGCTGCAGTGGGTTCCATGATGGAAGAAAGATGTAGTATTTCATGGAAGAAAATAAATTAATAAATACATTTGTGGAAGAGCTTCCAAGATTTTGTTGTTGTTTAGTCATTTAGTCGTGTCCGACTCTTCGTGACCCCATGGGCCAGAGCACGCCAGGCACTCCTGTCTTCCACTGCCTCCCGGAGTTTGGTCAAACTCATATTAGTAACTTTGAGAACACTGTCCAGCCATCTCGTTCTCTGTCATCCACTTCTCCTTGTGCCCTCCATCTTTCCCAACATCAGGGTCTTTTCCAGGGCGTCTTCTCTTCTCATGAGGTGGCCAAAGTATTGGAGCCTCAGCTTCACGATCTGTCTTTCCAGTGAGCACTCAGGGCTGATTTCCTCCAGAATGGATAGGTTTGATCTTCTTGCAGTCCATGGGACTCTCAAGAGTCTCCTCCAGCACCAGAATTCAAAAGCATTAATTCTTCGGCGATCAGCCTTCTCTATGGTCCAGCTCTCACTTCCATACATCACTACTGGAAAACCATAGCTTTAACTATACGGAACTTTGTTGGCAAAGTGATGTCTCTACTTTTTAAGATGCTGTCTAGGTTTGTCATTGCTTTTCTCCCAAGAAATTTCGTGACTGCTGTCTTTTAATTTCGTGACTGCTGTCACCATCTGCAGTGATCATGGAACCCAAGAAATGGGAGTGCCTGATCACCTCATCTGTGTCCTGATAAATCTCTATGTGGGACAAGAAGCTTCCAAGATAGAGGGTGCAAATTCCTGGCATGGTTGGAACCAAGTTATGACCAAATGATGCTTAAGAAACTCTGGGTTCTTTCTAGTGAAGTGGTCCCATTCAGGCAGAGCCTTCCACTTGCCCTTTTCTCACCCTGTGCATCTCTCAAAACTGTTCTGGGTTTCCCCCCAACCCTGAGGCAGGGAGAAGAGAAAAGGCAAGTAGGAGGCACGACAGACGTTTATAAAATTAAGGGTGGCATGGAGAAAGTGGAAACAGAGAAGAACACTAGAACTTGTGGACGTCTGATGCAGAAGATTCAGAAGGGACAAAAGGAAGTACTTTTTCATGTAGCGCAGAGTTAAACTGTGGAACTCACTGCCACTGGAGGCAGTGATGCTGCTGATTGGGATGGTTTAAAAAGAGGATTGTACAAATTCATGTTGTTGCTGCTGGTGTCCATCTGTCTCCAAGAGTAAAGTCAAACCATTGGGACGTTACAGCACCTGCTGTGGCAGTAGAGACGAATACAGGAGAGACATGTTTCATTGCAGGTGAGGCCGATGAAGGCTTCCAGTTTTGCTGCTACAGCTGTACCATGGCATTTCTTCCCTCATGTAGCCATGAGAGAAATTCATGTAGGAGAAGGCTATTAATGGCTACCAGCCACGATGGCTATGCCTCCACGGTTAGATGCAAAAATGCTTCTGCAAATCACTTGCTGGAAACCACAGAAGGGAAGAATCATAGAGTTTGAAGGGACTGCGGGAGACATCTAGTCCAACACCCTGAATTGCAGGAATCTTTTGTGGCCTCGAACCCACATCCATGAGATTAAGAGTCACATGCTCTACCAACTGAGCTATCCCAAGACTTCCCTCGTAACATAATAATAACGATAATAAATTTTTATTTATACCCCGCCCTTCCCGGTTCAAAAACTGGGCTCAGGGCGGCTTACAACAAATTTAAAACTCTTTAAAACTCTTAATTATAAAAGCAGCATAAAATACAATATAAAAACATGAATAACAATAAAAATAAAAAATCAATTAGATAATCCCCAGGGCTAGCTGCTTGAATTGGTCCTACTTGGGCCAGCGAGGAGGCCAGGGGAGAATTAGCTGTGGGGTCTCAGAGCGGGTGATCTTCATAGAAGGGGAGGGGGAGGGAAGAGAAGGGAAATAAAAGATCAGGCTGGATTCAAATTAAAGGCCAGGCGGAATAGCTCTGTCTTACAGGCCCAGCGGAAGGAAGTTAAATCCTGAAGGGCCCTAGTCTCGTGGGACAGAGCATTCCACCAGGTCAGAGCCATCACTGAAAAGGCCCTGGCCCTGGTGGAGGATAGTCTGACTTCCTTAGGGCCTAGGACCTCTAAACTATGGTTATTCATGGACCTTAAGGTCCTCTGTGGGGCATACCAGGAGGGGCGGTAACGTAACATGACTACTCATGCGCTCGGGTCCTGCTTACAGGTTGCACACAGACATTTGGGTCGCGTAGCGAGTTCCCGTCCCCCCCCCCCAGTGGAAATAAAGACACATGACACAATAATTAAGGTTAATGAGCTAAATAAGGCCACAACCTTATTGGTTACAGGTGATGAGCGGTATTGGCTTAGGCATTGGTCCTAACCGACTATATCCGGCTTCAGCCCGTCCGCTTGAAATCCGGGAAGAGTTAACCACCAGTAGGGGGAGTCCTGCTGATGCACATCATCTAGGAGCTCCCCCGGGGTCACCGGTAGGGGGTGTGCCTTAGGCCCTCACCTCCATAGGCTTCGGACAGGGCCAAGCCCCCCAGAATCCTTTATCGGACTACCCTTCAATATGCGGGGGAAGTGATGGCGCTTCCTCCCCTCTTCCAACTACAGAACAATACCAATGCCTAACCTCCAATACCAAGAAAGTTGTGAGGATTTGCTACGAGGTAGGCGAAAACCAAGTGGCTGGTGCCAATTTGCCAAGTGGAAAAATTCCTACCAGGCCCCTCAACGGCGACCAACCCAGGTCCATAGCAAGGTCAAGGAACGAAAACCTTAAAGGGCGGGACGGTGGGAAACAGGAACAGCTGATAGGCGGGAAAGAGGGAGATCCCTAGCCACGCCTGCGTTAAATAGGGCAGGCCACGCCCCCAGAGCCAGCCAGGGGGTGACACGGCCAGGGATTCCCCTGATCGTGCGGGAGCTGGGCTCCAGCCTCCGTGGGGCTGTGACACCCGCAATCCCACCTCCTCTGCAGGGCGGAAGTGGCTTTGTGAGAGCAGGATGCTAGACTAAATGGACCATTGGCGTGATCCAGCAAGCTCTTCTCGTGATCTTAAGAGAAGGAGAAGTTCCATTGCACATGCCAAAGTCCTTGCGCAGACACAACAACTTTCCAATAAATTCTTTGCTGAATTCTGATATGCTTTGGACAGAATCAAGGAGAGTAATCTCCTCATCTCATCCTCCGTGTGCTCAGTGCTATCCCTTCTCCCTTTCTCTTTGCAGTCTAAGCCCCATTTGTCACACAAACGTGGCCCAAACATCTTTCCATTGGGACGTAGCAGCCCTAGGAATTGATCTCTCTCTCCCTCTCTCTCTCTCTCTCCCCCACCCCCACCCCTCCTCTTCCCCAGCAGCCGCCCTGTCCCCAAACCGCCACGCAAACCACAGGATGTGGATCGATATACCTTCAATTGGAATAATTGTTTTCCTTTGTAAGGCCTCCCTTCCTCCTAGCCCTGAATGGAGAACTGTGTGATTGACCTCCAGAAAAACAGCAGATGTGACTAAAGCCGAGCGCCTCTGGCCTAATCACTCAAAAGCTTGGACCTTGGAAAATAACCGGGGAGAATACTCTGAGCAAGTGCTGGGGAGCTGTGGGAAAGAAACAGCAGGACAAGCTTTCAAAGAGCAACTCTTTCCGATAAGATGCGCGCACACACAAAAAAGCCTTCAGACTTCCCAAAATTGGCTGTTCTCTTTTATATTATTGCATGCGCATGTAATATATAATAATAATTCCTCGGCCACTCTGGGCGGCTCCCAATCAAGTATTAAAAACAGTACAGCGTTAAATATTAAAAACTTCCCTGAACAGGGCTGCCTTCAGATGTCTTTTAAAGATAGGATAGCTACTTATTTCCTTCACATCTGAAGGGCGTTCCACAGGGTGGGCGCCACTACCGAGAAGGCCCTCTGTCTGGTTCCCGGTAACCTTACTTCTCGCAATGAAGTCAGCAGTCAGCAGCAACACTTTGAATTGTGCTCGGAAACGTACTGGGAGCCTCAGAACCGGTGTCATGTGTTCCCGGCGGCCGCTCCCAGTCACCAGTCTAGCTGCCGCATTCTGGATTAGTTGTAGTTTCCACTACAACTAATCCAACTTTTGGGTGTAGAGACAGAGTAGTAGTCGTTTTGCCGACAACCTACACATGCATAAGTCGAAGGGGGAGCCTGCAAAGCACATGGCATTGCAATAATAATAATAATAATAATAATAATAATAATAATAATTTATTATTTATACCACGCCCATCTGGCAGAGTCTCCCCAGCCACTCTGGGCAGCTTCCAACAAAATATTAAAATACTGTAATACATCAAACATTAAAAGCTTCCCTAAACAGGGCTGCCTTCAGATGTCTTCTCAAAGTCTGGTAGCTGTTGTTCTCTTGGACATCTGGTGGGAGGGCATTCCACAGGGCGGGTGCCACTACCGAGAAGGCCATCTGCCCGATTCCCTGTAACTTGGCTTCTCGCAGGGAGGGAACCGCTAGAAGGCCCTCGGCGCTGGACCTCAGTGTCTGAGTAGAATGATGGGGGTGGAGACGCTCCTTCAGGTATACTGGACTGAGGCCGTTTAGGGCTTTAAAGGTCAGCACCAACACTTTGAATTCTGCTCGGAAACGGACTGGGAGCCAATGTAGGTCTTTCAGGACCAGTGTGATATGGTCTCAGCGGCCACTCCCAGTCACCAGTCTAGCTGCCACATTCTGGATTAGTTGTAGTTTCCGGGTCACCTTCAAAGGTAGCCCCACGTAGAGTGCGTTGCAGTAGTCCAAGCGGGAGATAACTAGAGCATGCACCACTCTGGTGAGATAGTAAAAAAACCGAAAAGGCCTACCTGGAGATGCCGGCATAGAACATGGGACCTTGCACATGTAAAACAGATGTTTTACCACTGAGCTACAGCCCTTCACCCACCAAAACATAGCAATATATGTAGCTGACTTATACTGAATCAGGCAATTGGTCCATTTAGCTCAGTATGGTTTGCAATGCCTGGTGGCAGCTCTACAAGTTTTTCAGAGTAATTCTTGCCTCGTTTTGGGGTTCTTCCTTAAGATTCTTCACGGGTTTGGGATGAGATGGACTTGCCAATCTTGCCAATAGTGTGAAAGGGACATGGACTAAGTCCATACAATTTTGCCCATCCCTAGTTGTACACCTCCTGCCAACCTAGCTGTTCGAAAGCACGTCAAAGTGCAAGTAGATAAATAGGTACTGCTCCGGCGGGAAGGTAAATGGCGTTTCCGTGCGCTGCTCTGGTTCGCCAGAAACAGCTTAGGCATGCGGGCCACATGACCCGGAAGCTGTACGCCAGCTCCCTCGGCCAATAAAGCGAGATGAGACGCCGCAACCCCAGAGTCGGTCACGACTGGACCTAATGGTCAGGGGTCCCTTTACCTTTACCTTTAGTTGTACACCAGCCTTCTAGAGCCATGGAAAAGATGCCTGTTTGACAACCCTTCAAATATTGAAGACTACTGTCACATTACGTTCTTCACCTTCTCTTCCGCAGGTGAAACATACCTAGCTCTTTCTTTTCTTTCCCCCCCATAATATTCTTTATTGATTTTCATTTACATCCTCCACATACACATATTGCATTACATTTTACATTTATATTTGCTCCTAAGAGCTGACTTCCTTCCTTCCTTCTTCTGGCTTTTTATATCACATCTAAATTTTTCGCATTGTCTTCATCCGTTTTGCATATTATTGTTCTTCTTTCGTATTTGTCCATAGAGTGTCTATAGCCAAATAAATCCTCCTGTATATACAATTCTTATTGTCTGTCTGTATTCATTCACAACTACCATTGGTTAGATTAATCGCATTATACATTTTACTTTTTGTTATTTTCTTTATCCAGAATTTTTCTTTGTATTTCACATTATGAGGTTTATTCCAGTTCTACTGGTTTCACTATTTCACCTTATCCTTCCTATACATGACATAAATTTTTCCCATTCTTTTTGAAATGTTTCATCGCCCTGTTGTCGAATTTTCCCCGTTAATCTAGCTATTTCTGTGTATTCCATTACCTTCTGTCGCCATTCTTTTACTGTTGGTAATTGCTCTTGTTTCCAAACCTGGGCAGGTTTAGCCCATACCTAACTCTTTCAATCGTTCCTCTTACCATCTTAGCATCCTAGTTACCTCCCTGTAAACCTAGTAGGTCAATATTCTTAAAATGTGGAGCCCAGAATGGGGGACAGTAAGCCAACTGTGGTCGCACCACCTCAGAACAGAAATAATTGTTACTCCCTGTGAGCTGGACTCTGCCAGTATAGTGTAGAATTAAGCATCCAGATCAAGTAAAAATAAACAGGTTGATTACCCCACACACGCAATAGCAGGACACAAACGCGATAAATGAATTTTTTAAAAATATAATAAATATTGCACCAAATTCTCTTTCTCTCCGTGTTTATCAATACGTCTACTGACTGGAAATGGATTCCTCTTCCAGCTTATTTGCACACACAAAAAGAGACAGAAATACTTCAGTTTGCTTTTATCAAAAGAATATGTGTTCAGCACGCGACGGACATTAGACCTAACCCTTGGGTTTTCGGTCTTTTATGTCTAGCAATTAACAGCC